AGAGCATATAATCATTGTCAAGTACAATGCAACAAAAGGCCACAAAAAAGTTTAGCCTCCACATCATCTGCAATAGAAAAAAGTCAAAAACAATAATATTAAGTTTTAAGATTTAAATGACGTAAACGCCCCTGTTAATTCTCATCAGTACTAAAAGTTTACCTGAGCAAAGCGTGCAATACTGAAATCTTTGCGGATGTAGTAATATGAGAAGTTTCCAAAACCAGTCATCCAGACATATGCAGCAATAAACACACGAATAGCATTATATATCTCTGTAGCAGCAAAGTAATGATACATCAGAAAGAGAACCTGTCAAAATTACACCAAGGAAAAAAAGGGGTGAGGGAGAATTACAATAATACCCTTAGAAATATTCGTGTATGTTGTTATTCATAGATAAACCCTTAGAAAACTGTTGTTTTTATGGAGAATGATATAATATTAATATCAAGAAAGCTGAATTCAGAGTAAAGATATTGAGAAAATTCTTGCCTGCATCCATCCTTTCCATTCCTCTGTCTGATGTCGATTGAGGTATAATATTGATTTTCCAGAGAATGGTGACTTGTCACTATGTTTCTTTAAAGAAGTCATTGCTGAAACTATGATAAGAAGAATGTATAGGAAGAGGAAAAGATCGCGATTGTAGCTCTGTTTAAGAAAAAGGGTATCAACTAAAATGCACCAATAAACATAGCCTGGTTTTCAGTTGGTGTAAACAAGGGAAACAAATTCACCTTGGTGGATTCTGCAATCAAATTGGTGCGATCACATATATAGAAATAGAACAAAATTCCTCCAAATTCTGATCTGAATAATGTTGTATAGATCATAAGCTTATAGATGAAAAAAAAGTATCAATATAAAATCTATCACCAACGAATTCATATGACTTACATTGCTCTCAAGGTTGCTCGATTCTCCAGCAAAAAACAATCCTCCATTGTCAGAAATCTGCAGAAAATAAAGGTACAGTAAGTAATGAGGATAGTAGAAAAACAAAATATGGATATTCATCAAACTGATAGACTTACCTAATTAAGTTAGATTTAATGGCTGTAACAGGCTGTTTCAATGATGATGATGATCTTGTGACACCTCCTTCCAACAAAGCAGCTCTGTCATCTTCCTCCTTTGTGTTGGTTTCCAATTCAACCAAATTGTTGTCTGAGTGACTGTTCACAGAAAACAGGTGTGAGTATTTCAGTGATGAAGAATGTATCTTTCCATGTTCAGGAAAGATATGGAGTATTGTAAATTTGTAATTATGATCTAAAGCTTTCACTGTATGAATAAAATTACACTTTAGATGCCGATGATAACTTTTTGTACTCCAACCACTCAGAATATATCCAAGCAACAAAAATGGGAATGATTGCAAGCAAGAAGGAAACCTGCAATAAAACAGTGCCAGATATCATGGCAATGAATTTGTATCAATGATGCTACGAGTGGAGCCAATGGATTGACCTCTTATTTAAAATGATTTCATATATACAGAGGTAATGTCAATGGTGAAAGGGAAATTTTGAGATCGGGTATTAGAGCAACTATCTTCAATGTTGAGTGAAATGCTTAAAAACTTACAAACAGAAGTCCAGTATAAGTTCGTTCTCTAAAAGGATCTAATCTTCCAAGAGTTAACAGTGAACTAAATAACTCATTATTACATAAGTTTTGATCCTACAATGGAATTCATGGAGCATTACTGAACATATCATATCACACATTCACACTTAATGAACTTATTAAAGTTCACACACTGATCTGGTGCTCAAGAACGAAACCAAATCCGAACAACTACACATCGTGATCAATGGAAGAGTATATCAAACAAGCATTAACAGTTTTCATGTTTACCTGGCCAGCTGTTAAAGGTCCAGAAACAACCATTTTGGCGGGAGAGATTAGGAAGTGAAGAGATCAGTAAGAAACAAGAATTCAAATCAGATCACGATGCATGATCCAATTAGTTCATCGACCAACGCACACTAGTATAAATCTGTACAAGTGTCGGTAGGGGTAATGGTAATGGTAATGGTGCATATGTAAGAGGCAGAAGATAAAGAAACCCTAACTAATCGCAGCGAAGAAGGAGAGATCTGAAGCAACAATAATTTAGTAAATGGATTTGTTGGGATTTGGGTTGATTGTTGAAGTCGTCGTTTGCTTCAAGAAATGAACATGACGACACCGTCGGGGGAGGTGTCTCCGTCGGTGTACGGAATCCGAGTCAAATACTACATTTTTTATGACCCGCCAATCGTGCCTCAGTCTGTCAGTCACGTATTTCCGGTTTATTGAACTCAAATTTAATTTGTTCGTTTAAATGGTGACGTGTTTTTTTATTTAAATCCTTTCCAAAAAATCAATTATTTTAAATTCTTTTTTGACATATGTGTTTTACTTTTATCTAAGGATGAGCAAAATGACCGAACTGACTCAAACCGGACCAGACCCGGGAACCGGCTTCGGCCAAAATCAAGAACCGAACCGGTCCAGCGGTTCTACCGGTTTTTGTCATGTCTTCAAATGTTGGAACCGATTCTCGAAAAATAGCATCATACGGTTCCGGTTTTGCCGGTTCTACCGGACCTTCAGGCTCTATTAATACTAGATGGGGTCATTTAGTCTCGATCATGGTTAACGTTCTTCTTTGGCGTGTGCTTTGGATAGGTTACCTACTAGGAACAACTTGGATGCCAAAAATATGGATTTGCCCTCGGTGATATGTGCTTTGCGTGTGTCGGATATTGAGGACGTGAATCATGTGTTTGTTTTTTTTTATGTGGCAAATCAGATATGAATTAAGGTGATTAGATGGTTGGATCTTCATTTCCCCATTTTCTCTAATATTTTGGAGTTATTGTCTTTGATTGATTCGACTAGGGTTAATGCCGAGAAGAGGAAGGTGTTGGAAGTTATTGTGTTGACCTCATTTGGTTCATATGGAGATACAAATACGAAAATATTGTCGTGTTCAGTTTGCCACTTATGCTTAGGAGTGCCCTTTTTGAAAACATTGTTATTACTTCTTTTCAATGGTTTGATGGTAGATGTAATAGAAATCCTATTATTTGGTCATTGTGGCTTCAAAATTCAATGATCTAAGGCTCTTTGCATTCTTTTTTTCTCTTGCTTCTTGCTAGATGGTTTTATTTTATTATATTAAGGTGTTCAAAAAAAAGAGCTATTGCATGAATAAGTACGCAATTTTGTATTAGGATACTGCATTTTTTACCTTTATCTAATTACTGTATAATTTTGTTTATTTCTAGTACGAAATTCAGTTTGTAATTAATGGTTCATTGCTTCTTTTGTAAGCAGTGTATTTAATACAATTTTTGATGTGGGTTCTAACAATTGTGTTTCATGTTGTTTATCATTTTTGGGTATTTCTTCGTCTCATTGCTGATCTTGTAGATGTCAATATCTAATATTAATTATAAATAACTAATGTAATAATTAAATATAAGTCAACTAGCCAAATGCTATGCAAAGAAGATGTTGGACAAATAGGAAATGCATGGTGATAACAAAAATAAACTCAGATATTTGTTGGATCATTTAATCGTTGTCCTTTACATTTATTTTCGCTTTATGTATGAGAATCAAATAATTATTTACAGTATAATTTGACATGAAGTCAACATAAACACCAAAATTCTAAGATACAAAAAATGAAGTACTAGGTTGGTATTTTGCATTGTTAGAAATCTTAGCCCTGACAAAATGTAGAGTATAATGTGTATTTATATATACAACATCCATAAAATGGATATAGATGACGAAGTTGGTGGTTTTCGGAAGTTGTTTGCAGTTACAAGACAATTATAATGGTTTCAAGAAAATTCTATATCCAAAATTTTCTTTAAGGCACCAGAAATTAAAAGTTAAAATTAAAGCATATTTTTCTCAAGTCAAATTTACTTGAAAATGGGTTCTGCACCCCTTGATTTTGCAAGGATATGGGAAGGGGCGACGATATGCTAAAACACTAAAGTACATCGTATATCCTTTCAGGTCAAGTCCTAATTACAACCCCCAAAACTTGAACACTGAAAATATACTTGGTACGCACTGGGTAATTTGTTCCAAGTCAAATTTATTTATTATATATTAATATGTCACTTATGGAGATGTGTTTCCACTCCATGTCGAGTCTAAAATAATGTTGACCTAAAAAGTGGCCATTGACCTTGCAAGGCGTCGTGGCCCCTTTGATCCTCGTTATTCGTCATGTGCGGATCAAACTTGTTTTATACAAGTGTGCACTTTGCACCCACGACTTTTATTAAATCATAGTTAGATCACTTTTTATACTCGTATAAATTCCATGTGCATCAAAACATTCAAGTTATACTACATATATGATAGTTTTGGCTATATAATAATAATAATATTCCTTATTATTATTATACCCAACATCGACTTATGATGTCTAAATAAATAAATAAAAGCATCGACGAATCTTTATATTAGTCCACTTTTTTATTGAAACAAAATTTGGATCATGTAGTTGCATTGGTCAAACACTCAAACAATAAGCAAGGCGGACACTTCGGTGGTTAATTGTGATGTGATCGATAGTCTTTTTGTGTTAACTAAATTCATTGACAAATAAAACCACCATGTTTTAGGTATTCTATTGCTTTCTTAATTCGTTGATCCATCTACCAAGATCATTAATTAAATTGTCATAATCAAATATTAAGTTTTATATAACTAATTAGATTATTTTCACTTTCTTACTTGTTTGGGGTCCATTTTAATTGGTTGATTCATCTGTCAATAGCATTAAAAAGGAAGGTTTATGTTGAAAGCTACATTACTTAATTATACTTAAATACAGTTTTTTATGAGAACTTTCAACTCTTAATCAATTAACTAAGTTTTTTTATATACTACTAGAATCATGAGCTACACATTAACAATATAAATATGATCTAGAGCCTAATGGAAACAATCCCGTCAATCACAACAACAAAAAAGAAACAATCATGTATATCATATTAAATGTTTAACACATTGAGCCCATTAAGTCAAAAAAAAACAACCCCTTAAGTCAAATTCCCAATAATAAACCATTCACTAAAAACCAAGATAACTCCACATACTTTGATCCATTTAATGTTTCTACAATTAACACCCAAATCTTTCCAACATCCAAAAGACTTAACCTAATTCCACTAGTTAGATGAACACAAAAGAATGTTTTCACTCCATAAAATCTCATTCATTACTCCTCCTCCAATCCCATACAACATCATAAGGCACATCTTTCAACTCCCCACCTTCCGGAAGCTCACAAACCCTCTTAAAAACAGCAATTTGTGATGCAAAACCAGGTTCAACCCCTTCAACTCCACCAACACCACTAAATTCAACCCCATAATTGTGCTTTTTGGCAATTTCGGATGCCCAGACTTGAAATTGCTCACGTGTCCACTCGAATTTATGGTCAAAGTTGCGAAATTTGCAAGGTTTTGTTGGGTTTTTGTCTTCTTCTTCTTCTTGACTTTGGGGAGTTGACTTTTGAAGTATGACATTGTATTCGTAATTTGGAGTGGAGACAATGAGAAGTTTTGGTAGAAAAGAACTCAAAACAATGTGACCGAATAAAGTTGCTTGATCTTCCGACATGTGCTCGATCACCTACAAGATAAATCAAGAATGTCTAAAATACCCTTTTCGAAAGTAATTTTTTAAATGATCAGATTAAAACTTTTGTAACATTGAGGATTTTGTTTACCTCTAGGCATGTTCCAATATCACATCCGTATAATCTAGAATCAAAAGTTGTGATAGAACCATCTAGAAGCAAAGCAGATTTAATACAGCTACTTTTGATTGGAACACTTGAATTGTTGCTTAGTTTTGAATGAAGAGTCTGTAAAACAAAATACAAAATAATTAACCGAATAACAAAAGGGTAAAAAGGGAATATCTCACCTTTGCTGCACGAGCTAGGGCTTTTACTGATATGTCGACACCAATAATTCGTTCAAGAGATGTTGGATAATCCAATAATGAGTCCAATAAGCTTCCGGACCCACAACCAAAGTCAACCTACCAAAAAAAAAAAAACAATATATGATCTTCAAAAAGTGTCCCTAAACTTGAACATTGAAGAAAAAGTCTATAAAGATTTGTGAATGTACCAAAAAAGTGGCAGAAGAATCTTTAATTTGTTGAACTGCATATTGAACACGTTGTTTTGATAAAGAAGGATTGAATAAAGCTTTTTCCATTCGGTCTTCTAAGGGTTCTGTAACCCGTAGCAAAGTTGTGGTGTATTCCAGGCTGCAGTTACCTATTTATTAAAATATGAAAGGTTAGAAATAGAAACATAAGTTTTTGGAAGGAATGGAATCGGTCAAAGGAATTGGAATCTGGCGGAATTGAATTCTGTCCACCGTTTGGTTATCATCGAGAAATGGAATGGGATTCATTAGGGGGAAGCACGAATCTAGAGTTAAAAGGGTATTTTAGTAATTTTAAGAAATGCCCGGAATTGAATTACATGGGTTTTAGGATGGAATGTTGAAATCAATCAGTCAAAAGGATTTTGTGAATTTAACCGGAGTTGAATACGTTGCTCATCCGCAACCAAACAAATGTGGGACTTGAATGGATTTGACTTTTCCAATTCCAACCAAACATGGTACTGGAATGGAATTGAATTCCATGGGTTTTAGGGCGGAGTGTTGAAACCCATTGGTAAAAAGATTCTGTGAACTACAATGGAATTAAATTTCCTAATGAATTTCAACCAAACATATACAGGAATGGAATTGAATTCCGATTCCGACCAAATCCCACAAAATACTCATTTGCAACCAAACACATGACTGGAATGGGATTGAATTCCATGGGTTTTAGGACGGAATGTTGAAACCCAGTCGAAGTATTTTTGTGAATTTCAACGGAATTACATTCCATAATCATTTGCAACCAAACAAACAAAGGACCGGAACGGAATTGAATTCCAATTCCATACTCACCTGATGATAGTAAAACCGAAATCCGTTCGGAATCACCATTGGCTGCAAAGATCAACTCTCGAGGGGGCAACTCGGTTCTAAAACAACCCGATTGTCCCACACTCATTCCACCCACAACCGCTTCAAGATCCGGAATCACCGCCTCACTCCCCAACTCAAATTCAAATTCTTCATTTTTCTCAATTATTTCCCTCTCTTCTCCACTAACCAACCACACACAGTAACCCACACACACTAAACACCCATTCGACGGAGTAATCTCCGATTCCACCCCTTCAATCCGATACTCCAACATCTTATCCTGATTCCCACCATCAAATCCCAACATCTTTTCATAATTACCCTTAATTTGCACCAATAAATCCTTCGAGATATGTTCGGGGTAAAAGACGAGATCACCCTTGTTCCCATTTATCGTATCTCCATCCGTATTTAAGAAATCATTCAACCATGAGAGGACTTTTAAAGAGGAATGTTGGATAGCATCACTTTGTTTCTTGTACGATTCTTGAGGGTAACAATGGAATATCAGATTCCGATCTTTTGAGAATATTTTTACTTCGGATTTGAAGGATTCTTCGGATCCCGGGGTGGTTTTCGCGGTTGTTGTATTGGAAAAGACGGGCTCCGGTAAGTGGTGCTGGCGGCAGAAGGTGGAGAGGATGTCCCTTGGAAACATTCCCCGCCAGTTACTTCGTGTCCCGAATTTTAAGGGCAATTCAGCTGCAAAAATGGCTTCACGTGACAATTTATATATACCCCTGGGTACCTTGTTCAAAAGTAACCTAACAACAATATAAGCAAAAAAGAAAAAGATTTTAGAAATTTATAGAATAATTTACAAAAGTGGTCCCTGTGTTTTCTGATTTTTACCATGTTTAGTCCAAAACTGAAACCTTTTTTCGATTTTGGTCCACATTTTAAGGTTTCATATTGATTTTGGCACCTAGGACTTTCAACTTTTGGTCTTTATTGCATGGTTTCAGGTATCAAGTTTGCTATGAAACAGTGGAAATAATGATTAAAAGTGAAACTTTGGATTAAACATGGTAAAAACCTATAAATATGAGCAATTGAGAAAAGGGATAAAAGTAAAAACCTATAATATGTGCAAGAAGATACATCTTCATGGAAAAGATCATAAGACTTCCATAAGTATCCAATAGTAGCCAAGATTGCATCCCCATATATATTTTGACCACATAAATAACTTGCTCTTGTATTTAAGTAAGTTTCATCCAAATAACCTTCTTTTACCTCATTTCCAGATATCACATCCAATTCGTGTGATTTTGGAGCACAAAAGTACAATCTTGTTTCTGATGAAGCTTTTCCAATGCCCCTGAATTCAAAAAAAGTCAATGTACTATAAAAATATTTTCAACACCAAATAAAACAGTCCATACCTCGAGAGCAAAACCCTAGAAGCATCTGGAACTCCAAGTTGTTGAGCAATGGCATCCATGTAATACTTATTTGAAGAAACATCAAGAGTCAAAGAGTCAACACTCTTATCAACCATATAAGGAACACGAATAACCTTGACATGAGTTCCTTTCTCACAAGACACTTCTACCAATTGCAAAACTTCTGGAGGGTATGGAGTTACTCTTTTTAGTGACAAAAGTTCTTTAGAACAGAATACAGTATCAGATAATCTTGCAGAAGCTTCCATTATAATTGAGGTTACATCTAATGGTTTTAACTCAACCTCGGGTTTTATGCTCTTACAAAGATTAGAAATCTTTGAATCATAAAAGGGCATAATGGAAACAGGGACAAAACCGTTAAGGTCGCCTTCTCTATGCAAAGATGCCCGAAAATGACCACTCAGTGGATGACAGATGGCATAAAACTGTTGGTCAACCGAAAAAGCATACAAGTAAATAGTATTATAAAGGTGAATAGTGTGTAGAAAAGAACTTCAAGATTTGAATCCACGTTGGACATGACAAAACAGGGATTTGTTACTAATAGATAGAAAGAGATAGGAATGAGGGTGAGGGTATTCTCGTCTTTTGCACAGATAAGGAATAGGGGTTAAAACTTAAAAGTCAGGTACCTCATTTGAGAATAAGTAGGAAAGCCGAGATACCAGTTGATCTGATGGATTTTTTACTGGAGGGTCACTTAACTGCAAAAAAAGAAATATAATTTAATATCAATCGATATAAATTAAAGAAAAAAAGTGTCCATTTGGAAAATATTCAATGCCTACTTGAGATATTAAAACACATGATTCCTGATGACAGAATTGTCTATCTCTTTTTTTTCACATTAAATGGGGTCAAAAATTTTATCTTCTCTTTTTCCTTCTTGAAACGCATAAAAGATGTCATTTTTCACAATAAACTTCTTCAAAAAGCACAATGCACTTTCACCATTTTACTGATTTAGTAAATAAAGAAACAAAAAATACAATGTACCTTCTCTAGTGCCTTTTCTGCAGCATTATGCATAGCATCCTTCTTTCTCTTGAAGACATCTGACACAACAGATAAATCAGGAAGTTGTAAGCAGCAACGATATAGGCAAGGGCCTTTCTGTGGAATAACAAGCCCTGGACATCCATTTGATGAAAATTCTTGAATTTCCTCTATATTATAATGTGCTTTATCCCCAAATCTTTGATGTATAATAGCCTTAGGATTCACATTCACAACTTCCTTCTTTGCTTCCATTTTATACTCCTTCAATACCAACTATTCTGATTAGTATGTGTCTGCAAAAAAAAGCCTCTCATGTATCAAAAACAGACATATAAGTCGTTTAATGATTCATTAGTTTAACAGGTAGGGAATACACACCAAAACCCAAGTCTAATCATGCTTTCGTTTTTACTTATGGTGTCCATATTAAGTCGAAATGAACAAAAAGGGTTGTTTCTGCAAAAGGGGGAGAAACAACCCTGTTTCCTAGACAATCAAAAGTAAAATAAACCAAGTTGCGGTTATTGATCACGTCTGATTGTACATGATTTTTGGAGGAAAAGGAACAATCGTTAAGAATTATAAGAAAGAGTTAAAGAAAAAGGAAGACGTTAACGAAAAAACAAGTAAGATCAAATGGGAAATGAAGTTACACGCCATTGAGATGATAGAGTGACAAGAGAAAGTAAAATCAAAGTCAGGAAACACGCAAATAGCAGCGATAATATCTCCTTGATTAAGCGATTGGACATTAGAACAAAGTACACGGAAAAAAAAGGAAGGGAATCATCCTATCTTGTTCATTATGAGTCGCATTCACAAAAAAACGAACGCGATTCCTACCCAACAGATATCGTAACATAAAACATTAAAGAAATGGGGAAAATCAACGGTGAGTGACAAGTAAGTTATCGTTCAGTGATCAGAGATTCCTATAAAGGATAAAAACAACTTTACCTTCACATTTGCAATGCAAAGAAATGATGGTAGAAATGGAAAGGCATGAAGGGTTTAGTGTTTACGAAAATTTTGCAACGAACAGGAAGGAGATGAAGACAAATTTGTACAAAACGTCGATTTTTTGCAAGTGGGGTTTGGTTCAACTTCCCCTAAAGAATCGTGTTCTTGGGGTTTTAGAGAGGGTTGATGGAAAAAAGCTGATGCACTGGGAATTTTCTTTTACTTGTAGATTGACCAAGAAGCCCTTTCGAACCTTTTCCTTCTTCATTTTCGAACAAAAAAATAAAAATTAAAAACATCCGCAGTTGACTTGAAGTCTAATTTGTATTAGGAACATTCATGCCCATATTTTTGTTCGAAAAATGGGTTTACATATTAATTTTTTTAAAAAAAAGAAATTGAGGGGTTTTTATATTTCTACATATTATTAAAAAGAGTATTCTTAATTGACCAATAAAACAATCAGAACTTTGATTGTATCTCAATCTAATAATTTTCACCCTTATATCAAACTGATGAGATCATCTTCTCAAAATAAAATTCAAACATTTAATTATAAAATCTTTAAATTTAGCAATTAAATTTCAAACAAGATTATATTTAATTATAGAATCTATTCATACTTTCTAAAATATATTTCACAATTCGAGCATAACTACATTTAATTATAGGATCTTTAAATTCAACAATTATGTTATCAGTTAAAGCATATCATTCTATTTATATATGAAGTATCAAATTATCCATAAATCTGGCCAGAAACAAGAATAACCGCCCATTTTTCTCCTATATTTTTTTCTCTTAAACCATAATTCAATAATCCTCTTCGTCCTCGTGTCAATGGTTGTGCTTCAATTGATGTTTTGTGTGTTCATAGGTGGTTCCTTTTTGCTCATGTATTCTTAGAATTTGCATGTTGTCTCTTCCTTGCATCTCCAATTATGACCTCTGTTTTGGCTTCACACGAATCTCTACAAAATGAAGTAAGCATCTCCTTCAAGACATCTTTTGAGAATATGCCATCATTTACCCTAATTAATATTATTAATATTTAACTCCCTTAATTATAGTTTTTGGCTTCAAAATTCAAACTTGTTTGGTTTTTTTCTTTTTAAAAAGCTCATTAAATAAGCATATCAATAATTGTGTTATCTTTAATATATATTAAAACAAAAATCTTATGACAGCATCTTAAACAATTTAGGTCATTGATTGTATTTCAATCCTATATTTTCCATCTTTAGATCAAATTGCTGACATCATCTTCCCAAATAGAATGTATTTAATTCAAATAAAAACTTTTCAATTTTCAAACAAAATTAACTTGAATCCATTGAAATTTAATGTATTTAATTCTAATAAAAACTTTCCATATTTTAAATCTTGAATTTCCAGTTATAAAGATTTTAAAATGGTCAACTTTAAAACCATACTACTAAAAACCATTTCAATTAAGGCATTAAATATTAACCATTAATATAAATCCATTTATATTAGCAAATCATTAATATAAAATTCATTTTTTATTAGAAAACCATTAATACCAAAAAATCAAATTCAAATTATCACATACATATACAATTCATCCTTGAATCTGCAGCTCACACTTATTTTCAATCATTGTTTTTTTTCAAACCTTCTCTTACAACATCATTCTTATTGATTATAACTTTGATCATCATTTTGTGCTTCAAACCTTCGTTGTTGTGCACTAGAAGGTAGGTACCTTCTTTCGCTTTTTTATACTTTTTTTGATTTTTTTTGTTCCTGTATCAAATATATGTATTCATATATTTCGATTTTCTTTGTCACAACTTACATGAAATCGATTAACAACTTTTATAAAACTTTTCAAACAAATAAGAAAAGTTATTACGTACCTTTAATCCAGAAAAAAAAAAAAAAAGAATGTACTTCGATGGAAACCAGTTAAAACATCATATAGCAAAGTACTTTGATAGAATGACAAATGTACTCTACACATTTTCCTATTCATGGCAATCAATTCTTTTGTGTATTCGTTTAGCATAATACATCTATATTTTTATCCGAAGGGTAAATCATTAATTTAGTATGTATAATGTTCATCAAAAGTGTAAATCGGTAATTTAATTCAAATATTGATCAAATCGTGAGCCGCTACTATTTATGTTTGTTTGTTTATCTCAACCTGGTTACTGTTTTTGATTTTATATAATATCTTAAATTGTTGGTTGAATTACAAGGATTGCAATCTTGATATAGAACTTAAATAATTTGTTAAGATAAATATATGGTTATACCAAATAGAAAATGGAGGATAAGGGTATAATATGAATAAAGAGATATTTTTTAGTGTTTGAATGTAAATGAATATCTTAATATGATGGTTGAATCACAACATTTCTAAATTTAAATTGAAATCATAACTAAAGGTTATTGATATTATTAGATGGGTTTTTTTTAATGTTATGATTTTAAGGTTTAGGGCAAAAAGGTAATTTTATTTGTGATAGAATAAAGAATGAAATATTCAAATTTACCTTTTGAAGGTATCAATAAACTCCTAAATTTATGTGATTTATTTTAATCTGATTACAAATTAGATGAAAGAAACATTTAAGTAAGGAAACATAAGGGCAAAAGAGTAATTCGACTTAGGAAACTAGAAAAACATTGGGCCGAAAAAGAAATTCAACAATAGATATTGATATGACACGTATACTAAAATGATTTTTTAGCATGATACTTCTATTTTTTATCCGAAGGCTAAATCATTAATTTAGCATGGACTATGTTCATCAGAAGGGCAAATTGTAATTTAATTTAAAAATGGATCAAATTGGTTGTTGTTACTATTTTTGTTTTTTTGACTATCTCAATTTGGTTACTGTGTCTGGATTTATTGTCGAATATAATAACTTCATATTAAACCATTTTTAGGAATGTACGTGTAAAGTACATTGTTATAACATTTTTAACAGTAACCTGTTGTGATTTTTTCGTGTTGTAAATGTCTTTTAATTTATTTTTTATTCACTATTAAGGTGATGGATTTTTATAAACAATTTAATCTAGAAAAAGTTAAATTATAATTATTCGAAGTTGTATATTTTTCTATAGAGTAAATACAACCTTTCAAAGATTATTTTCTATGACTAAGAAAATTATGTTTCTATTTTTGAATCTCATAAAACATCGCATAAGGGTTTTTTTGGCTTAACATATTACATCATTAAATCAAACAAAACAACAGTGTATAACTTTTCATATTAAATGTTTAACCTAATAACTTGTACTTGATCCTCACCAACCTCTATAAATTGCAATGGCTATGTTATTTTTTTACAAATTATAGCAACATACTTACCATGAAAAAAGAACTTTTAATTTAAACTAGAACTTAGGTTTTTATCAGTAACAACAATATACAACACTTAATATCAACATTATTGCCTACATATTAATACATGAACTATATCAAAAGTAGGCTAAGAAGTTAGAATCCAAATTAAGAATGATCTTATTTCCTTAAATATAAGATTTACGGTATTATAAACAAAAAATTTATTTGATTCTTAAATTTTCTATTTGGTCATTTTTATATGTTGGAATCAAATTGCATAATTACAATTAAGATTTTTTTATTAAACTTTGTATACAGGTTTGAAACAACAATAAATATATTGTCGAAGGAACATTTTTCAAAATAAATGCATAATCTAAATACATGTTAATTTAGTTCATTTCATATACTTTACTGTAACATTTGATTTTTTTTAATGTTACATTCAAAAGATGGGTTATTAGAACATGCACCTTAGGTGTTTGACTAAATGTGTCAAAGAATCTGTCACAAGTTCTCTACGCTCACCTCACAACTAGGTATAAATTTTGTTTTTTTTTTCTAGATTTTTAGCATCATGTGTTTTTGATGTTTGCAACTTCGTGGTGTTACGTGTTTTTCTTTTGTCTCATCTTAGGTTTTTCTATCGCTGATAGGGTTTCATTTTATTATTATTATTGTAAACTATCGATTCAATCTATTGTACTTTGTTATGACTTTTATCAGTGTGATAAGATTCTAATAAATTGTCAATTTCTTGATCTTTTAGAAAAAAATGTTCTAAGTGGATTATCATATACTACTGTGGTATTATATTTTGTTGATTAAGCGGTCTATGATTTGGCTATGATAGTTTTTACAGATTATGTTTGGAGTGATAATTGTTCCTGTCACAAAAAATACATCCAACGAAAAGTGAAAGACAATTTTTTACATTAATACCCTCATCTAACTTTAAAGGATCTTTTTTCATTTTTGATGGCATGTAACAGAGTTTTGGCTAAAATATTCAATTTTGTCGGCATATAACAGGTTATAAATTAAATAATGGTATTAGATATTCTTAAATTATTTTGCAAAAGTGTTATTGATCTCACAAAAGGCAAGTCTCATGTATCTTTTAGCATATTCATTGAGTTTAATAGTAATTCAATAGTTTCTTGTTTATATTTGTTTTTTAAAAAATGTTAAATCTTGATTTAATTAATGTAAGTAAGCAGGTAGTAAAGGTGCAATGTATTAAATATGGGATGATCATGGCTATGTCAAGCCAAAATAAATTTCTAAAGCAACAAATGTTATATTTAATAGATAAGCACTTGTAATGGAGAATACATATTATATTTCCCAAATAAATAATCAAAAACTAACCTCATCCCCAAATAAATTACATTTTAACTAACATCAATAAATTATGATTATAGTGTCTTGATTTTTATTTACACATTATATAGAGTCGGTTAATATATAGTTAGTATTTTTATATTCGTGTCGTTTTTGAACTACAAAAATTATATTCAAATAATAAAAATGAAATGGAACATATACGATGGAAATAATGCAAAAATAAACTTCAAATTAGGTCTGATACAAAAAAGTAGTGTAAAACTTATTTCTAAAAGCAACAAGAAATAACAGCGATTTCAAAAAGAAATGAGAATTGCAACGAACTCTTCAAAACTATCAAGAACGTATAATATAGGATGATAATAATGCTAGAAAACACCGAGTTTGGTCTCATGTGAAAAAAGTAATTTTATATGAAAGTAGGATTGTAGTAATACTAAAAGAACCTATATGTTTTTTATCTGATGCAAAAATGGTCGAAATATACTTCTAAATCGGTAAGAAATAGCAATGAACTTTTATTTCATCTTGAATAACCATTTAGTAGTTATATGTAAAAGATATAAATATTCAACAGTTAAGACCATCGACCTTACTCAAA